AGGGCGGGGTAAAATTACGACTGCGTTTATGAGTTATTAATGGCCTCAGCCCGCTGGTTCCCAAACGGGTCTGGGGTTCCAAACCATGCAGGGCGGACGGAGCTGGGTTATAGAGCTATACAACTCAATAAATAATTCAACTGCATTACTTGGATTTCCAGAATTGCCATACATTATACATGCAGTTCAACAAATGTTTCTGCTATTATACACAAATCTGTACACTTCAACTGTGCAGTAATTAATCACCTAGATGTGTGCCAAAAAACTACAGAGATCTTTTCACCCTCCCTGCTACATTTTTCATGCCAAGGTTTTGACACACTCCAGTGCACCCAAAGAAAATCAGCGACCATGTGAAGGAGGAAGGGAGGGGAGGACAGACGGATGGATTTTTTGTTGTTTCTGGCTTCGCAGGATTGATTTTCATCTCACGAAGAACTGGGCTAATCTCAATCCCTCTTCTAATCTGGATCCAAAGCACTTGAAACCAAAGGCTTCTTCACAGATGAATAAAAAACAAGTGTCAGTTTGTGCAACATAGATGATTACATGTAGATGAAGGATGGACGCTGTTTTATCCAAAATATGAACCCATTTTCTAAAAGACAGTTTAATAAAGGTGAGGTTTTGTGGTCACACTCTTCTCCTGTTAACAAGAAGCGGTGTGAGAAATTTAAGACGCATATATCGCGACATTCTGGTCTTGTCTTGTTCGGTTACATTTGATGATTTATTAATGAGCGAGTAAATATAGCAGAGGATCGTATGAGTTCAGAATACACATGCACGCAATAAACAGCCACACGAACAGTGATCACGAGGTAAAGAAAATAAAACCCCTGCAACTTTCGAAGGACTAAACCCTGGAGAAATCAAACAAATAAAGGCAGGATTTACTGTAGGGTCTCACGTGCACCGTTTAAGCCTGGCAGACAAGTGCTGTTTAGATTTCCCTGGTATACTGCAGAACACATCGATCATGTGTGTATATCAAAAGCGCCTATCAATAATTCAGCGTGAACACACCATCTGAAAATATGAACAAGACACCAAGGGCAGAAGAAAGAACAAATTTACTACGCAAAAGCTTAAGAAGGACGAGCTGGGACCGAGAGGAAAAGGAAAAACCGCTTTCCCAAACTTTTTTGATTATCTTTCCTTGATCCCTATTTCTCTCTCAGTCTTTTGTCTTTAACGCCAAGCCGTAAACAAACCCTCTATTTCTCAGGCAGAGAGCTTAAAGGAGGAGGAGGAGGGTGGGTGCATTTCAAAATCTCTAAGCCTCAGTCCACAGAAGAGAAGAGAAGAGAAGAGAAGAGAAGAGAAGAGAAGAGGACAAACAATGGGCTGTTACACCCATCAAGGGGAAATGTTATGACTCAATTTGCCAGCACACACATACACACACAAAACATACTGTATAATGCAGCATGCAAGAACAGAACCATTAGCATGCATGACAGTGCTCACACTCCTGCCGTCCCACTGCAAAACACACACACAGTGCGCGAAAGAGAAAGAGGGCACTAAACAGATTGTTATACATTGACTCTCTCATGCCTTGCCATTTGACAGTATTTCGCTTCAGTTCCCAAAGCAATACATCTAGAGCTCATGCAGCAATCTGATTACCTGACAGCCGCTTTTATCGCTCAATTTTGCAAAAACAAGGTGACAGAAACCCTATCTCTATGAAACACTGCGACTTCACTGCACCACACAACAGCATTATGCCACAAGCACAACTACAGTCCTCATATCAAAGCATTTACTCAACAGCGTGATCTGTTGTCAACCTCTTTCCACTTCTCTCTTTCTGTTTTCAGGTGCATTTAATGGAAAGAAACAGCTCAGATGGACAATCCTTGGAGAGGCATCACTATTGTCCAGCCGCAAACTCCCTCCAACCGCTGACCTTTACAACTGGAGTGTGTCAAGCCCGCTGCCCTCCCCCAGCGCTACATGAATTGCTACTCCTGCCTTACCGGTTTGACCTTAAGCGGCTCAGTTGACCTCTCTATTTAGGATAAATAAATAAAAAAGAAGGATGGAAGCATCAAAATATTTTCAATTGCATGCAGCGTTCACTTCATAAACACCACTTTATAGTCACGCTTACAGAAAAACATACATTTGAAAGCAAACACTGCAGGTGCATTCAAATCAAGCCTCACACACTTTGCTGTGTGCTTGCAATACACTGAAGGCAGACTGTCGCCCCCTAGGGGACACTTTTATAGCCAGGAGCACCAACCCTGATGCTGACGGTAGCCGTATCAGCCTCTAGCTCATCTTTACACACATTTCCACTCTCTAAAACTGAGGTAAGTTGTTATTTTCACCTAAACAGCAAATTAAGTCCAAATAAAGCTAAGGAATTAATTTTCCTGAGCATTTTTTTTTGTTTGATATTTTTATTTAATTGTTTTTTTTTTTTTTTTGAAAGGATGGAATAAAAAGTCTGCAAATAAATCCATGACCATATATTAGCATTTTCTGGCCTCAAATATGCTGTTAAGTATGCTGCAAACATAAGCACGGATATGCAATGCTCTCTAGACGAAATAATTAAGAAAATCCCCTGCTACCAGGTTAGAAGGATACCCCTGAAGATTTTCTTAAACCTCAATTCGCCATTAAGTAATAGATCTGGACGCCTGTGGTGCAATTAAGCGTTATTACATACCTTTATCCAGGAAACTTTTCTCGGCCAATCGAATTACACCCCTCATTCTGTTGTGTTCTCCCAGAGCACACAGCCCTGGTTCTGTAATTGACCCTGAACCTCTTTTCATTTCAGACGTTGGCTATTACTTCAACGGCCAGCTGTTCGCAAGCTCTGGATCAGCTACTATAAAACACCATTAAGGAGCTCCTGGTCTTACCCTCTCGCTGCTGCTGTTGCCACAGGCCTGATGGGAAGCATCTGAAATGCCCTTGTGCAGCTGTGGTGTGGCAAGCAGTGGGGACTCTGAGGGTTTATATATATATATTTGTTTATATATCCACTAGCCAATGGCGATTCAATTGCCAAGGTGTCCGTAGAGGGTTGCCATTTATTTTCGGATTTCAGGCTACCTCTAGCTTTGATGACAGATGCACATGAGAGCACCCGGACACATCGATTGACAGAGACTGGAAAGGGAGGGATTTCTAACATTTTTTATAACCTCTCAACTGGGATTCGCATTTCTATGGCTCTGTTTTTATCTCACTCTCTCTCTCTCTGTTCCAGGCCAGGGGAGAGGAGAGCCAGATTGCTTTACGGGCTCAGTAACAGGATAGCAGATCTGCCTCTCACCACACTTCTGCTGTAAATAATGGAGAGTATATCCTGTAATGTATGGATCTGTGTAAACATAGCATGCACTCCAGGTATGTGTTTTAGAGTGGAGAGTGAAGGTAGTGAGAGAAAAAGGCAAGTATCTATGCTGTAGTGCCTGCGTCTGTAGTTTTATGAGACCTCTGCAGTAATTCAGCTCATTATTAAAGGGCCCATAATAATGGGCCTCACTCTGACCTCTGACCTGCAGCTGGGACGCGATGAATAGCAAAGCACACGCTCACACAATCATGGGCAGACACATGCAGCAAACACACAGATCTAGAGATCACAGGACACCTATGAAAACATACAAATACAAATTCATGCTTATCCACAAAAACACCCACTTCACACCTCTGAAATCACTCAGATAAAACTGTTTTTTAATTTTTTGTTTTGTTTTTTGTTTTTTAATTAGCCACAATGCTTGCTATGGTTGTTTAATGGTAACATGTCCGCAATAACAGTGTGGGACGAGTTATGCACCAAAGTGTAATACTTCAGTATACAAGTGTAATATCTAAATATGTATAGCAACATCATGTGAAAATACTTTTAACAAAGAGTAAACGTACACAAAAAAACCCTCTTAAGTAGAGATATTACAAAGAAACATGTATATAAAATGTATTTAAGGCATAAAATAAAGCTAGAGAGAGAGAGAGCTAAATTCATTTTTGCCCGCTATAATCTCAATCGCTGCACATACACCTGTACCTGATGTACAGAGTTTAAAGAGGTGACTTTAGCCTCATCTGACACGACAGATTTCAAATTACTTTAAACTGGCTTAGCAGCACAGACACACATAAGTTGTCACTGGCTTAACCAAATCGCTCCACACAAAGACGCATTAGCAAGGAACGAGGAAATCTGGGAAAGCTCTTTCTTTCTTTCTTTGAAATGCGGTCTGAGCGTCTTTAATAGAGAGAGGATTGTGACAGTGTTCTTGAGTACGAAGGTGAGACAAACCTGCTGAGTAAGTAATACAGTAAGGGTGTAACAATGCCAAGACTGAAAATTAAAATGTTTGAGGTCAAGACAAATTGCATTATGTTGGATGAAAATATGTTTTTATGTATTTATTTGACCTAGTGTGTGAGCAATAGCAGAAAAAAAAGAAAACAAGAACATTAATTATGTCATTGTAAGAGGGAAACCGTAGGAACCTTACATTCAAAGCACCACAGGAAACTACATATTGATTGAAGCTCTATTAATTTGCAATATAGTAGCTGGAAATATATTCTAGGCAAGAGCAGCAAATCATCACGGTACGGCCGTTATGAAATAACAAGCCTTTAGGGCTGAACCTGTCAGTGCATCAAATCTCTCCACACCAGAGGTAACATCAAAACAATATCTCCAGAACAGAATTATGTTCCATACTCAATTTCCTCTTAACGCATTACCTGAAACAATATGAGCAAAGCTAGATTTCAAAAAATGATAGCAAGGTGCTTTTCGGCATCTGGCGAGGGCTGGAGAGAGACTCGAGTTTCATATTATCACCAGTTGTGATCCCCTTCCTTTCCCCCACACTATGATTCACTGGCTGCTTTGTATGCACACACATCTACTCATCCATTCGTGTATTGACCTAGTGAGACAGAGCAGAACGAGAGGGGGATGGAGGGTAATAAGGAAGAAGAATATAAGTTGTCGTTCCTACCTGTATTATTGACATCCTGTTCACTGGCGTCTCGGTGGTGTTTGTAACAGGTCCCGTGAAGCTAGTGTGACAGCCAACATGCCCTTGAGGAACACTGAGGTTGTTGGTGGTGGGTTTAAGGTACATGACCTCTGACCTTGGAGAGCTGAGGGGCAGACGAGTTTGGTAGTCGAAGTACATGGGCGAGGTGGCCAGAGAGGGACTGCTGACAACGTTCATCACGTTCATGGTGTCCCGCTCCTCCACTTCGCTCTGCACTAGCATGATGTCATTCTTGTTGATCTTCTTCTTCTTGCCCTTGCCAAGTTGCGGGTGAGTGTACTCAGCGATGCGACAGTTGTATGTGCGGATCTCCTTGTTCTCCCGTTTGCACTTGACAGCGATGATGATCATGGCAGCGAGGAGCATAATTGAGATGATACTCAGGGTTACTATTAGTGGGAGCGACATGTCCCAGTTATGGTGTTCTGCGTTGATGCGTGGCTCGCCCTCTGGTAAGGGCCCGGAGTAGGCTTTGACGATAAGTTTCGCCATGGCTGAGAGTGATGGCTTGCCATGGTCAGTTACCTTGATGATGAGTTCCACAACAGGTGCCACCTCCTCCCACAATGGCTGGGCTGTCCGTACCTCGCCCGTCACCGAGTCAATCTCAAACAGGTGTTCCTCATTGCCATCTGAGATCTCGTAGGTGAGACGACCACTTTCACCAAAATCATTGTCCACCGCTCTCACGGTGGTGATAATGTGTCCGACTCCCACATTGCGAGGTACATGGATCTCAGCAGTGTCATTCTGAAGTAATGGAAGGACAATGACAGGAATGTTATCATTAACATCCAGCACACTGACACGGACAGTGGTGTTGCTCTCCAGGTGAGGGTTACCTGAATCCTTCGCCTGGACCTTAAAGTCAAAATACTTGGTTTGTTCATAGTTGAAACTCCTCAGGGCATAAATTGCACCATCAGTGGGTTTGATGTTAACATATGTAGTGATAGATTCCTCACTTACATTAGAAGGAAGAAGGGAATAGGATACAGTACCATTTTGGCCCAAATCTGGGTCATGAGCAAGAACAGAACCCAGGTATTCCCCTGGGATGTTGTTTTCAGGCACCTGGAGAAGGTAGACCATTTTTGTGAAGCGGGGTGCATTGTCATTTTCATCTAGAATTTTAACAGTGAAAGACTTTGTTGAGTTCAGGGGTGGGTTACCATTGTCTTTGGCCACAATTGTGATGTTATACTCATCTTTTATCTCCCTGTCCAGGGGTCTGTCGGTCACTACTGTGTAGAAGTTATCATAGTTCTCCTCCAGCTTGAAAGGAACATTCCCCAAAATCCTACACTGGATCTGCCCATTGCGGCCTGAATCTTTGTCTGTGACTCTAACGAGTGCGATCACTGTCTCTGGAGCTGCTGCTTCACTAACCGCCCCCTGACGCACAGCTACGAAACCTATTGACGGCCAGTTGTCATTCCTGTCAAGCACTTTAACGGTGACTTTACAATGGCCAGGAATTGGGTTGGGGCCTTGATCCTTTGCCTGAACATCAATCTCTATAATTGGGTTCTCCTCAAAGTCGATTTTACCCTGAATCTTTACCACACCCGTTCGGGGGTCTATTGAGAACAGTTCTTTGATCCTGTCTGAGACATAACAGCTAAAAGAATAAGTAACCTGCCCATTAATCCCTTCATCGGGATCTGTAGCATTTAAATCTATCAGTGCCGTGCCTGGGGGTGAATTCTCAGGTATCTCCACTACATATGAGGGCTGTTCAAACACAGGGCTGTTGTCATTGGAATCAGTGACTTTCACATTGATTTGCATTGTGCCTGATTTGGGATATTCTCCTCCATCTGTGGCAGTTATAATTAAGGTGTGATGACTACGTTCCTCTCGATCTAAGGACCTCTGAACGACCAATTCAGGGAATTTAGTTCCATCCCCTCTGGATTTAACATCCAAAGAGAATATACTATAATCATCACGCGTGATCTGATATGTTTTCAGGCCATTTTCCTTAGTGTCAGGGTCGTAGGCAGCAGCCAGGGGGAAACGTGTGCCTGGGGCTGCGTTCTCAGATATGTCAAAATCGATCTGTTCAGAAGGAAAGCTTGGTGCGTTGTCATTTATGTCCTGTATCTCAACTTTAATCATGCAGATCTCCTTGTCGTTGGCAAACACTTCCATGGAGAGCTGGCACTTGGTGTTTTGTCTGCACAGTGTTTCCCTGTCAATCCTCTGTTTAGTGTACAATAGCCCACTTTCGGGATCCACATCGATAAGGTGTGGGGCGGAGTTCTCCAACACCCTGAAGTTGGATTTTTTCCCCTGCTCTCCCAGTTCCAGCTCTGCATCCTTGGCAATGTTTCCAATGACACCCTGAATTTTCTCCTCAGGTATTGAGTAGTTCAAGTTTTTCAATGTCAGGGCTTGCGCCCATAAAAGTAGGAAAAGGAAAACAGAAAGATGCATCCCTTTCAGTGAGAGTGTCTTAGGTTTCTGATGCGTTTTACGCCTCCGACCTGTTGATCTTCTCGGCAATTTCACAATTTCTACCTTCAATTACTGAGCACACATGCCGATTCATGATAAAAAATGTATAAAGTCATTATGTGGGCTTTTCCTTTGAATGCTCTTTTCTTTCCTCCGTAGCAGGGCTCCCTTTATCCTGAGTTTTTACAACAAACGGTGAGGCTGTAGAGCTAATTTATATTCTGCTGAACGCCCAGGCGCATTGGAGGCATAATCACAATCCGGTTTCCACAAAGAAATAGCCTTTCCCAGCCTTTTCACCTGTAATAAAAAATTAAAAAAAATAAAAAAATCTTTATCAGATTACTGCATGTAATATTGCACTTGATCATTTAAATTCTATTATAAAGATTTAAACAAGCACCTTGTGTCTCAACATTAGCGCTTTTTTTTCCTCTGTAGTGTGACCGTGTAATTCTAATGCGTAATTCCTCATTCCCTAGCGAACGACGTGAATGGCATGTCAATCCAACCTTGAGATGCGTCGGAGCGCTTTACCGCTGAACACAGGTGGATGTTTGTGTTATTCTGCTCTCAACATGTAGGCTAAGCAATGCGTCGAGGATGCGCCATGTGGCACGAAGAGTGTTACGCGCATCATACGAGTAATTATGGATAAAGGTGGTGAGCAAATAAAAACGGATACATCTCTTTCTATGTTCAGGCGTCCTCAAACAGCTTCTTAACTGATGCCATATCTATACCTTGCTGTCTTAAGGCAACCCCCTGAATGCAAATGCGTTGAAATAACCCGCATAATCCGGCTGTTAAATACAATTCTTACATAGTCGCATAAAGCAGAGCAAATGAAACACAATCCTGGATGGTTATTTATACTGCGCTTCTTGAATAAATGCAAGAAGAAGCTGTTGCATCCTCTCTGGCACTGTGCGCATCCAGCTGCTCCAGGAGCATATACGACATGTCATTTCATGTTTTTAATTTTTTTTCAGGATGACACTTTGGAACAGAATGATGATGAGAAACATCACACAGACTTACGTGTAATCTTATATCCAGTCTAAACACAACCATCACCAAAGACGAGTTACATCCTTCATGCACCTTCCCAATGAGTGGAGGGAAAAAAACTCCAACTAGACTGTATGAAAAAAATAAAGTGCTCCGCAAAAGTGCGCTTGTAATGTCAATGAGGCTGATTAGGATGCAGTGACTCTCCACCGCTCATGGACTCAGACTGGAGGCGCTTCAGGACAGATATGTTGACCCAAGCGTAAAATGTACATCCACAACCGTTGATATCACCAGCGCGAACAGCCTCTTGTACTGCATTTATGCGGGGTGAGACATCCCCGTGATAAATGCGTCCTGGCCCCACAGGAGGCTATACGTCCAGTCCCTAATACAAAAACCGAAAAGGGAAAAACAAGAGAGTCCAAAGTTTAAATGTGGATATCAACCGAAAGTGTTCAGTCCAATCCGACTGTCACTAAAACCAGCTGTCGATAACGGTACGGGAATAAAGAATAGATGCACTATGGTGTGCCGGTGTCCCTTCTGCCTCCTCTGCGCGTTTCTGACTCTGACTGTCTCACTCTGTCTCATAGTCCATTAAACATTGTTACTGATCCGTCGCCAACCAATGGATGGAGGAGGAGGGGGGTAACGCAGCCAATCGGATTCTCGGAATTCAAATTGTGGGCGGGGCTTTCAAAGCGGTCCTTTATGTGAGTGATGTGGACGCGTTTCGAAGCGCAGACGGGAGTTTATAAAAGACTCTTGTACTTTGAGACCTCGAGCGGGGTTGGAAATCTTAACGTTAAAGAAACTGTTTATAGATCAGTAGGTAGCCAGACTGTTCACACGCACACACACACACACACACACACACACACACACACGATCTTACAATGGTCATTGATAGAAGGTCCTGATGGTAAATATTGAATACTGGATGTACTGTACACTGTAAACTAAATAATGTCATATACATTTGTGTGGCTGTCACTCAGAATATCTGCAACTTGGTGAGTGTTTTCCGCACACAGAATGTTTTTATTTTTTTATTTCACTTTAATAACATTAGTGACTAATATTAGTTATTATGATAATGCTAAATTAGCCTAGTAGGCCTATAATATGAATTTAAAATAAACATATTTCTGGTTTGGAGTTGATGAGGAGCTACTTGAGTCATATTGGTGAAGCTGTTAATTAATGCTGTTCAGTTGCTTTGACACAATCTGTATTGTTAAAAGCGCTATATAAATAAAGGTGACTTGACTTGACTTGACTATACAAGATCATCAAGTTGTCTGTCTAACTTGTTTTTTTCCCTCCACATTTTGGCACTGGTTTTGCAACTTTAGATTTGGCCTTTGGCTCTAAAGAAAGACATAAAAACAACAGTAAATTATATTTTTAGAACTGGCTTTAAATTCAGAGATTCTAAGGAGTCACTATTATATAAGTTGTTCATTTGCTAGTTTGTGTGTAAATCTCAAGAAATAGACCTATGTACTGTAATGTTTAGAAAGGGAAAAATAAAGATGCAAGAGGCTTGCTCAACCTGACTTCACATCAGCTAGCATCTATTTGTTTATGTTTGTCAGTTATGTCTGGTAAAGCGAGAGACTACAAAACAGTATATAGAATATCTCTAAAGACAAGCAGCCACGTTTTAAAGTATTTAGAATACTTTGCATATGTTTGCATACTTCAAAACTTAAAAAATGTGCAAGGTTTTCATTCTGTTCTTCACTCAGGAACACAAAATATAAAAAGCAAAGATATAAATGCTTTTAAATGCTACATAAATGCTTTATGAGTTGTGCCAAGCAGTTGAAAGATGAAAAGAGAACAGGAAACACAAGATGCTTCCACCGGCTCATTGGGCCCTCTGGTGGACACCTTTGAACCTTCAAATATAGTTTCCTTAATTTTTCAGTCTACGTTATGAAAGCACATTACATACATTGTGTGTATATACTTTAAATGTACTGTATATAGCATATATATATATATATATATATATATATATATGTTTGTTTAATTGTAAAATTATACAAAATTATTTAATTATAAATAAAAATTCATATTTTTTTAATTATAAATAATAATAATAATACTAAACATTTAATACAAAAATTAAAATGTATATAATTATAATTTAATATTTAAATAATATATTATGTAGTGCAATTCTTTGAAACAAAAATAAAGATGTATATAATTAATATAATTATAATTTAATATTTAAATAATATATTATGTAGTGCAATTCTTTGAAACAAAATTTAGGTAGCACTCACCCCCCATCCACTGATCTGGTGTCAGTCACGCTCTGTAATGCTCTTTGATATGGCAAATAATAAATCTTATTCCAGATCTGCTGCCTTTTGTGTGATGCAAGTTGGCTCATATTGGAGGCTGCTCGCATGGGCCTGACTCATCATCGGCCAACATGGGTATTGGAGCCGGTGTCTGAATTCATTGTGAATTCCGGCGCACGGCACCTTAATATTCTAGAGATGCTTCTCCATTGTCATATCATTACAGGACTGCCTCTGTAATGCTGGCTGTTTGAAGCTTCTCTGTCTCTAATGCCCTTTGATTATGTGCAGATAGAGGAGTGTTTGATAGTGCTTCAGCTGTAAATCTTCCTGTTCGGGCTCAATATGGGCTGCTGAATCCTTGACCTTGGACGTGACCTCTCCTCTTGACGTTGGTGATGAGGTTTTTCCATTCTCTGAGAAGTGTCGCACATATGTCCTGCTCACGAGGTGTTATAAATGGGGATAGAAATGGGAGTATATATCCATCTTTTTGCATCTTTCCTCTTATGCCTCTTCTTGACTACATGGAAGATGCATATGGTGTTACTGGAGCGAATTTGGGGGGGCTTTCTGAGAGAAGCCATACGGCACATGTGCTTGCTTGTGTGTTGTGTCAAATCTCTCTCCGTGTTGTTTGCAGAAGCCGAAAGCTCTCTTCTGGATTCCAACTGAATCTACTTCAAACTCTTATCAGTGTGTCCTGAGGGTTCGGCCTTGATGAAAAACCACCAAAGACACACAATAGAAGCCCTGCTATTAACAGCTGTCTCTATTAGTCCAATTAAATTGCCTTAAGACATGCCGGCGACAGAAGCCACATTTGGACGGATGGAGGCGAATAGCTACATTAAAAAACAATTTTGAATATTAAATTTCAATTTAATGGCACAGTTTTTCTTCAGGTAATGAGACTGTGCGAGGGCCTGGTCTTTTTGGACGGGCTGCCTTAAAAGCAGCATCTCTCTCCTTCTCTCTTCCTTCTATGGAGATGAGGCTTTTATGTGGTACAAAATGCAATTTTTTTCATGTCTGCCGAGGACAATTCTCAGAGGAGATGGTTTTTCAGTGTAGCTGCCCTTTCCAGTAACATTTTCATCTGCATTTGCTCTCTTCTCCTTTTGTTCTGTTTTGCAATGGTAAGGAAATGAAGATGTGTGTTAGAATCAGAGCTTTTCAGATAACAGAACTTCACACGTTTCTTCCTATCTATCTACTGTATATATCCGTCCATCTTTGTCTATCCGCCTGTCTACCTATGTTTTCTATCTATCTATCTATCTATCTATCTATCTATCTATCTATCTCTAAACTGTCTGTCTATTAACCAATTTGTTTATCTTGCTACATAACTATCGAACCGTCTAACTATCGAAATGCATATCTTCCGAACGGTTTATCTACCTACATAACTATATTGAAACTGTCTAACTGTCTGTCCGTCTGTCTACCTACACATATCAAACGGTCTGTCTTTCTTTCTTTCTTTCTTTCTTTCTTTCTTTCTTTCTTTCTTTCTTTCTTTCTTTCTTTCTATCTATCTATCTATCTATCTATCTTGCTCCACAATCCACCCACACACTGAAAGTTCAATAAACTAGTGAAACGAGTACATAGAGGCAGGTAACACCCACCCACCCCTGCTGTACATTTAGTGTTGAGAACAGTTAAGCAGGCTTTCAGATTAGACACCACAACAACTCAAGAAAAAGGCCCAGTGTGTGGCTCCATCTCACCGTGAGCCAAGCAAGAATGTCTGGGTCAGACCTGGGGCGGTTTGAGAGAAGAAGGTGTCCTATTCACCCCGCTGGACACACTCAATCCGCCTTTCAAGCGGAGGAGGAGAGAGCGACAGGTCCGCTGGCTTCATGCGCTCTGTCTGTGTGGAGTCCCTGCCATGCTGCATTCAGAGGACTTGTAATGGTGCTGAGGGGATGTCTGTGTGTGAGAAAGGGAGAGACCTTGCCAAGCTGGATTCAAAGACGTGACACTGAGGTGTTTGTGTGCCATTCTGGTTTCTAAGTAAAAGTGCAAGAATCTTAGTGGATGCATGTTGTTTTGTACCAGATCACAAAGCTTTTGTACAGTTACTGAGGTGCTGAATGTACAGAGAGATTTTACTCATTTAAAAATAATCAAATTAAAACAAATTTTAATTTTTTCGTTCAGACCAAGCATATTTTGAATGTGTTAAAATATGTATGTCTTCGCTGTTGCTGTGATGACAACGACAGATGTGGGTTAGACTAAATAATTTTAGAGCCCAGAATCAAATATTGCATGCCACTGTCAATATGCTTTACATTCTTACATACTTACAACATTTCTAGCAACTAATTAGATTTTAGGGTTGAGCTTATATGTATTAATTTAGCATATGTTGTTATACCAAGACATTACTGGATATTAGTGGTGGGGATTTTTCAAATACTTTTTTCTGTTGGTTGCAACATTACGCTAGTAGGTGGTCACAAATGATTCATTATGAGTGAGATGCTGACTCATGTAATCAACCAATTCCTTCAATACACTGATTCATTCAGGTACAAAATAAGTGCCCTTATGAATGAGTTACTAAATCATTCACTTAACTGGTTAGTTCAAAGCACTTTATTCTTTTATGAGCCAGTCACCGAATTGTTGACTCAACCTATTTGTTCAAAAAATCTGATTTGCAGGAACTAAACTCGCAATGTTCAGAAGAGCATACTAGTATACTCCACGTACTATTTCTGTAGTATATATGATATGTATTGCAGAAATAATAATAATAATAAAAAAGATGATTATAGTAGTATGCTGTTCCTGATAGCTATCTTTATGAATGAGTCACTGAATCATTCAATCAAAATATTTGTTTAAAAACAGGAACGTTCATTCAGCAACGAAACAAGAATTTTTGAGCAAGCCATTCACTCAACAGAGACCTTCAAAAAAAACATATGATCCATTCAGCCACTTCACTGTTGTGTGTGTTGCTTGAAAACGCACAATGCTGTAAGCGCAGTCTATTATATTCGCCTATTATTGTTGAAGTAGTTTGTGTTTAAGGTTGAAACGTCTATAGGGTGTTTTCACGACATGTCATTAATCCGGAAATCGGCCATATTGGCGGTACTGAATGTGAACAGTGCCACTGAACCGAACGGAAGTCGTGTATGTTCTTGGCAAAAAAACCCCAAAGTATTTCACTATAGCTGCATTACCATTACAGATTTGCTCAAAACTTTTGCGATATTTT